GCCTGGCTTTTTGTGGAAATTCTACACTCTCCAACCCATATGAACCTTCAAAACCACAAACATTGTCACATATTCTGAGAAACCAAATCACTTCCAAATACTTCATTATTTCATTTTGGAATAAGATATAGTTTTGGTACCTGAGTACATACCGAAGAACTTACTTATTTTAACATTCCATCCTCCCACAGATATGCATCTGATCCAGTGATTTTGTCTAGAAGCTTGCTCTCTTCAGCTCAGTAAGTTTCAGTTGAGCTTGCCCCCTGAGGAGGTCCAATTAACCCAGCTGATCAACTGCAGTGGACCAGAGTCATTGCCAGGGTCAAGTAAGTTTCACATAAAACAACTGAGAATCTTTATTGCCTGAGGCTATCTGGTCTTATCTACTCTTGATCCTCTAGTCTGCATAGAAAAGAGATTTGATTCTGTGCCAGTTCTCTATTGCAGATTACCCAGTAGAGGGTTACTAGGCCTGGTTCTTAGAAGTAATGCTGCCAGTATTAACAACTACTTTGTACGTTTTCTGTCCCAAGATGATAGAAACACTTCTAAGCCTGAAGGAAGGCTGCTCAGAGGATTGATAGTAAATGTGGGTGTCTAGTATGTGAAATGCCCAAATTAGAAATTGTGGCTATCAATACAATGGATAAAAGTCTCATATCTAAAATATACTTGGAACTCAAAAATTAAATCCCCCAACAACAAATCCTCAAAGTAACAAGTACCCGATAAATAAGTGGACTAAAGTAAAGACTTAAAGAGAAATTTCTCTGAAGAGGAAATAAGAATAGCCAATAGGCATATGAAGAAATGGTCAACCTCTCTAGCCCTAAAAGAAATGCAAATCAAAACAACATTGAGATTCCACCTCACCCCAGTTAGAATGGCTATAATCAAGAAATTTAATAACAACAGATGCTGGAGGGGATATGGCATTGTTGGTGGGAGTGTAAGCTTGTTCAACCATTTTGGAAAGCTGTATGGAGGTTCCTCAAAAGACTCCACATAGAGCTCCCCTATGACCCAGCAATCCCACTTTTGGGCATTTACCCAAATGATCACAAACAAGACCATACTAAAGCTTCCAGCACAACTATGTTTATTGCAGCATTATTTACCATAGCTAAGATATGGAACTAACCCAGATGCCCCCCAGTAGTGAATGGCTCAAAAAAATGTGATATATATATATATAATGTATATATGCATATATATAATATATACATATATTATATATAACGTACATATGTATATTATATATCACATATATAATATATAAAATATTATATATATTTAATATGTATATATGTATATAATATATATTATTATATATTATAATATTATAAATACAATATATGTAATATATTATATTATATATTATATACATTATATATACATATATACATTATATATATATATATATATATATATATATATATATTGGAATTCTATGCTTCCATCAGAAAGAATGTCATTGTCCCATTTGTTAGGAAATGGAAAGACTTGGAAAAATTATATTAAGTGAAGTAAGCGAGGCCCAAAGAAACATAGGTCCCATGGTTTCCCTTCTTTGCAATAACTAGTATATGTCTAGGACAAGCAAAAAAAGTCAAAAGCTATGTACATATGGCCAGATAAGATGATGTTAAGTGAAATGAACCCCAAGATAGGGACACATGGTTTTTTTCTTTCTTGCTATTGTTTCTAACGTACTTAAAATGTACCATGTGATTTTTTTTGTTTCTTTGTATGTTTCTCCCCCATGGTATAACCCCTGTTTTCACTGTATTTGATGTCAGTGCCCTGCGTCTTGTATATACATTTATCTAATTTGGGGAGGGGAAGGGACGAAACAAAATGCTTAAATAGGGATACAGGGTGACGCATTGTAACAATGAGATGTACAAGATACTATGTTGGAAATGAACTTTAGAATTTAGGCGGAGGGATGGGGGGAGTGTAGTTGTGGAGGTGGGAGGGAAGGGATGGTAGGGGAAAAACAAAGGAGTAGGTAACAATGCTTGCTCATGTAACTGTAACCCCTCTGTACAGTATTTTTACAATAAAAACATATTTAAAACTAAAAGAAATTATGGCTATCAAAAGGAGGATAAACAATTGATTTCCTGACTTATATATTCTGTGTCCCTGAGAATGGATTTCAAAGCATGCAGGTGCTTTTGTCAGCATAAAACTAACATAACATGATTCATAATATGGAATTGAGTAAGTTCAAAACACATGAACTTGCAACTCTTCACACCTTCAAACTCTTAGCCTTAGTATCAACTGCTTCAAAAAGTTTCCATTTACAATCAAGCAGCTTTTTAAGAAATATAAAATAAAACAAACAACATAAATTACCCCAATGACTTCTCATTGTCATTTTCTAACATCCCTGTCTCCTTAACTGTAAAGAAGATTGAAAATGTGGTTTATATGCTTTATAGTGGCTGTATTTTCCCTCGATAGTTTACTTTTTATGAATATTCCTGAAGTAAATGAGACATTTGCATATCTTATTAATGATCTTTTTTTTATAAACAGGGATATTCTCCTAATTTTATATAGCCATAAACATGTCTTTTCATCATGGAAATGGAAAAATATGCTTTCTGCCAGAATTTATATCTGAGTACTGTTTTAAAACATAAATTATACTAAAGCGTTCAGCATTGAAGAGAATGAATTATAATAGTGACAGGTAGGCCATGTGCTGAGAACATATCGGACTCTCAGATTTCTTGTCGTGATTCTTGTACTTCGTGTACTTCATCACCATCTCTTCCCTCCTTGTTGTTAATAATAACTTTGTTTTCTGCAAATGGGTATACGGTGATGCTAACAAATGCCATGACTGGACTCTCTGGTTCATATTGCTACTCTACCAAAAACAGAAACTGGTGAAAATACATAGGTTTGCTCAAAGTTGTTTCTGTAGAAGGCAAAGACAATCATTTTCTCAAATATCAGTCTCAGTGGGTTTTAGAGCACAGAGAGTTTTTGAGGGAGGAAAAGGGATGTATAAAGACAGTAGTCAGGAAGTTCGTGCACTAAGCAGGGTCTTCGTTGTCCAATTTTTGCCTTTTACCCTATTCTTTGGAAGGAAACTTTGCCCTTGTTTTCCTGCAGCTACCTAACTAGAACCTGGAAAGAGCTTCTACAGCAAAAAAGTATTAAGGAAGGAATGGAGGACAACTGAATGGAGATTTGGGAAAGGGATTCTTTTAATGTTGATCCTGTCAGTATCATGATCTCTTATTAGACATAAAATTGTGCTCACACTCTGTAGCTAATATCATTTTTAATTACAGAAAGATTTCTCTGAGGAATAGTTCACTGATTTTTAATGTCTCAAAGGAAAACATAAATTGATTTATTTTTAATAAATTGGTTTATTTTAATAAATGTTTCTAAGATACAATCTTCAACACACATATATAGCATCATCTTATGTGGTCATATGTACATAGCTATTGAAATATTCTGCTTATCTGCTAAAATTATCCTAGATGTATAATAATTATTGAAAATAAGGGAAACCATGGGATCTATGTTTCTTTGGGTCTGGCTTACTTCACTTAATATGATATTTTCCAAGTTTTTCCATTTCCTAACAAATGAGATGATGTCATTCTGATGGAAGCATAGAATTCCATTGTATGTGTATGTGTGTGTGTGTGTGTGTGTGTGTGTGTGTGTGTGTGTGTGTGTGTGTGTAATCACATTTTCTTGATCCATGAATCTACTGAGAGGAAGGGTTGGTTCCATATCTTAACTATGGTGAATAATGCTGTGATAAACATAGTTGAGCTGATAACTTTAGTATGGCTTTGTTTGTGATTGTTTGGATAAATGCCCAAAAGTGGGATTGCTGGGCCTTAGGGGAGCATAGATTACACCCTAATTTACTTGAGCTGATCCAAAACTTTGGAAAAGTAGCAGGGTATAATATTAACCTTCAAAAATTAATGGCATGGAACCAACCCAGATGCCCCTCAGAAGATGAATGGATCAAGAAAATGTGATATATAAATATATATATATATACACACACACACACATATATATGTATATATAATGGAATTCCATGCTTCCATAAAAAAAGAATGACATCAACCCATTTGTAAGGAAATGGAAACAGTTGGGAGAAATAATATTAAGTGAAGTAACCAGACCTAAAGAAACATAAATCCCATGTTTTCCCTTATTTGCAATAATTAGTGTATGTCTAGGATAATTTTAGCAGATGAGCAGAATAGCTCAATAGTTATGTACATATGACCATATAAGATGATGCTAAGTAAAACTCCAATACATAGACATAAAAAGTTTTTCTTTGTTGTTATTGTTTTTTATTTACTATGTGATTTCTTGTTTCTTTGTATGTTTTTCCCTCTATGGCCTATCCCCTGTTGTCATTGTATTTTATTTTGATACTCTGGTACTATATATATACATATATAGGTTTATCTGAATTAGGGAAGGGAGGGGGAACAACAGAATGGTGAGACAAAGGACAATGCAACAGCAATATTCACAAGACAATATGTTGGAAATGATTTGTACAAATTGGGAGGAAGGATTGGGGAAGAGGGAAAGAGGGAGAAAAATAAAGGCAAGGGTAACAAGTTCGACAAGAAATGTGCTTATTTTTTTAACTTGTGAAAATACTGTACAGAGGGGTTACAATTACATGGGCAGGATAATGAGTACATTTCTTAGCAAGCATTGTAGCCTCCTTCTTTGTTTCCCCTTCCCATCCCTTCCCAGCTTCCTCCCCCACCCCCACACCAAAGTTGTAAAGTTCCTTTTCAACATAAGGACTTGTACATCTCATTGTTGCAATGGGTCCACCTGTATCCCTATTTAAACGTTTTGGTTTATCCCTTCCCCTCCATGAATTATACAGGCATCAAATACAGTGAAAGCAGGGGTTATACTGTGGGGGAGGGACATACAAAGCAACAAAGAAATAATCTTATAAATGTGTTAGAAACAATCCCATGAAAGAAAAAAACAGATCTCCAACTGCATGCAAGAACAACTTGGAGAGACTTTGACAGCTCAGGTGTGCACAATACCTGTAGCTGCCACTCGCCTTTCCTATAGTGTAATAAAATAAAATTAAAAAATAAATAAAAAATAAAAAAGAAAGAAAAAAACATCATTTGAATACATATCTTAGGGTTCATTTCCCTAACATCAACTTATCTGACCTTTTCTGCTTGAAAGAAATGTACTTACTACCTTACTTATATGTAACTGTAACCTCAATGTATATCATCTTGACAGTAAAAATACACTGATGAAGAGAAAATTAAAAAAAAAAAACAGTGGCTTTTCTGTATGTCAATAACGAGAAAAGCATGGCTGAAATAAGGAAAGCAACTCCTGTGGTAATACCCACCTCCCCCCCCAAAAAAAAATTACCTAGGAATTAGCTTAACCAAAGAAATGAAGGAACCACTGTGAAGAAAACTTTAAATACCTTTTCTTCTATTTAAAAATAAGGACTTGGGCTGGGAAGGTGTCTCAGTGGTAGAGTGCTTGCCTTGCATGCATGAGGCCCTGGGTTCGATTCCTCAGCACCACATAAGCAGAAAAAGCCAGAAGTGGTGCTGTGGCTCAAGTGGTAGAGTGCTAGCCTTGAGCTGAAGAGCTGAGGGACAGTGCCCAGGCCCAGAGCTCAGGCCCCATGACTGGCAAAAATAATAATAATAATAATAATAAGGACTTAGTGTTAATCTTCTGTGTCTCCGGCCACCAGAGTAAATGATTGAATAACAGTACAAGGCAGAATTTTTAAAAATATTTTTTTAGATAAGTAGTTCAGGAGCTGAATATAGGAATAATTTTGAAGATCACTTTTCTACCTCTAAGATAATAAAAAAAATACTCAGGAATTCAGATCAGCTATCACAGTTAAAGTATAAATTTGTATATTTTATTATAACTTAAATTGTTTTAAAGTAGACATTTGTTGATCTTAAAGTCAATGCCAAAAAATATACTATATATTTTGTTGCTCAAAAGGAGCTTGTTGTCCTTTGAGATGTGGTCATCAGACTGAAAATATGTCTGTTACAAATGACAGCTCTTCCTGTCTGGAGTGGAGAAAATCAACTGTGAAAATACCCTGTTTACTAGCATTTTATTTGACTATGCTATAAAGAGACACCTGTGAATTTCCTTTACAACTCTGTAACTTTTGCATGCTTCTCAACAGCTACAGATTTTTAATCATTATAAATTTAATTTTGTTTTATCAGGGATATACAATATTTTTTTCTGTAATGAATCAGCATCAAGTCAGTGAATTCTAGTACACATAAATGCTCAGGTCCATATTCATTAGTAATTTGTGAAATGTAATATTAAGCTGTATTAAAACATTCTGCTCAGTATTTATGCACTAATAATATTAGAGAAAATAAATTTAACAGAATTTATTGGAGCAAAATATTGTTTTAATCTGAATTTTTTCTTGATTCCAGAAATTTATTTTGGATTAACAAATGCAGTGGGTACACAAGGACTTATTAGAGAAAGTGGATCCTAATACATTCATTTCCCTATGATGGATGGTGCGTGTCTTAACAGATTTGTTACCAAACACAGTACTCAAATGGCTATCTTGAAAATGGCTATCCTGAAGCAGCCTTTATGGGCCAAAATGTGCTTATTTGGACCATATGTGGTAGGAGGACACCATGCCCAGCATTATCTCCGTAGACATTTTGTTTGTGGAAGGTAATATAATAAAATCCATGTTGTCTTCATGAAGGTATATATCAGGGAGCATGACTTATACATGCAAAACACAAATTGGGCCACCTTCTTAGCAACTAGTGAAGCTTTCATTTTTGGGACACAACCTGATGGCTTTCATTGATCCTAGAATTAGAATTACGGGGTCATTAGGAAAGCAAATTTCCTATATCACTTTGCATTAAAAACATTTTTTCCCAGTATACTTGATTTTATTTTGTTCTTCTTAGTATAATTTAACAACTTCCAAAATCCCATGTTATTTCTGATGCTTTATGCTGTCAGATATTATCCTTTCTTGTATAATTATTGCATGGGAAGACATTCCTGTAGCCACAATCAAAATAACTTTTAGACTCTTACATTGTTTGTGCATGTACTTAATACTTGGCTTGTCAATTCCCTGTTTATGAGAATTATTTTTGTTTCCCCACAAAGAATTTTTATCATGACATACGTATGAGAATCTAAATTTTTGCAAAGGCTTTATATAACTTACCTGCCTTAAACATCTACAGAATGTAACACTTACAGAAATCTGTTTAAAGTCATTGGCTGTCCATGTTAGACACCAAAGTTTACTTTAGTTTCTACCTCTCAAATTGTGGTAAGCCTTAGGATTTGTAGTGATGATACAAATGTTGATAATATTTGATTCAAAGCAATTGCATCACCACAATAATAAATGTCTAGTAAGTTACTTGTAGAAAATAAATCATACCACATCAAAGAGAAATAGAAATGAATCAAAATTTTGAATACAAATTTTCCATTATAAAACTTCTATCAAAATACAGGTAAATATTTTGATAAACTGGCTCAGAAACTATTAGGAAATTTTATTGGTAACACGTGGATCATAAAAAAACCTTGGTTAAATTTGGACATTTAAGTAAAACCTCTCAAATGACAAAATACTATAAGATATTAGTTTAAAATAAAGTAAAGCAAAGCAAATTGCCGAATTTTTATGGAGCAAAGTTGTCATCTAAGTTTTTAACACTTTCTTTGCATAAAATATTTGTGAAATAAAATGATTATATACCAATATATTGGTATTGAATATAAGCGAGTTATTATTTTTTGTATGAGAGAATTCATGGGGTTGTACTCAGGACTCTTGAGCTTTCTGGCTCATTGCTAACACTCTACCATTTGAGCCACAGCTCCACTTCCAGTTCTTTGGTGGTTAATTAGGCATAGAAATCTTAAGGACTTTTATGCCCTAGTTCACTTTGAATCCTAGCTATTACAACCTTGAGCCACCAGCACCACATTCAGTAAGTTGTTACTAAAGACGAAAATACAATCATTACCTGTTGCAACAATGAGAAGTACAAGTTGTCATGTCCAAAACGAGCTTTACAACGTCGGTGCGGGGTTGGGGGGGTGGGGGTGGGGGTGGGGCGGGGGGAAGGATTGGGACTGGGGGGGGGAGGGGGGAGGCTGCGAAGGAATGTGAAGGGTAAACAAAGGAGGAGGCTGCAATGCTTGGTAAGAAATGTACGTATTATCCTGCCCATGTAATTGTAACCCCTCTGTACAGTATGTTCACAAATAAAATAAAATAAATAAATAAATAAAAAAGAAAATACAATCATTAATATTTGACCACCTAGTCATCTACAAATTCAAATTAAAAACTGAGGAGTTGCTTTTTTGTCTAATTGATAAGAAAAATAAGTATGGACAAGATCAATTAAGGTGTGATACAATACTTGTTTTATACATTTCATAATGCAATCTATAACATAATAATTTATAATTAATGATAACTATATATTGATTACTCTGTTTTAGAATATGGATAAAACAGTACCCATATACAATTTGCTGAAATATGAATTGATACAGTTGTATTCTAAGAATATACACTGACTTCAGTAAAGAATGGATTCAAAAATGATGAGCAAGGTGAAATATTTTTAAGGATTTTGATTATACCAATGTTATCTTTCCTTCAACTAGAAGTAACCTAAATAGCTATATTAGGGATTTGGGGTTAAAATAGTCATTTATAAAGACAATAGGACAGTATGAACAAAATATTACGCATTGTAGGTCTACCTTGTATATTTTTAAATGGAAAACACTGCATATAAAAATGAAAATTGCAACATACAGTTTCATAGAGGACTTCTTATATTTAATTACTTTTTAAATACATGAATGTTAGTATAATTGCTACTGATATAATTATATATCCTTAATATGAATTCTTAATATGCTTTGTAATATTAAAATACAGTTATACAAAATCTGTATACATCTTTAAATGCTATAAATGCTATATATATATATACATATACCTATGTGTGTATATATATATATATATATATATATAATGATCTTTTCACTGAACAAGGTTGACCTAATAGAAATGAAGAAGAAAGCTGTTCTTCTCAGACCAGTGCTTCAATCACATTCTATCAGCTTTTCAATGGCTCTGGATGATATTTTTGACAGTTCCCATATGCAGCCGTCTGGGTCACATCAGGAGACAGATGGCATGCTCCACACGGAAATAAAAAGGAGTTTAATTAGGTGGTATTTACAGTGTTAGTGGAAGATTAAAGGAACCAAGGAGAATTCAAGAAGCATCTAGAGACTTCCAACAGTGAGAGCTAATATGCTGTAGACCTTCCAAGGTAACTGCCTTGAAGCAAGAGACTCTAGCTCAATGAATAGTCTCTTGATCAAGGAACAAGGGAAGAAAGAAAAAAAAAATCTCAGAAAGTGCAACTAAATGCTATAACAAAGTCATTTTCTTTTGTGAGTATTGGGCAATATTGTCTTGCTTTCAAGTTAAAATATCCAATCCATACTACATTCAAAATTGAATCCCCCTTTCACTTTGTAGCTATTTTCCTAGCTCCTCTTACAGGCTACAATGGACTTACTATTGTACACCATTTTCCTCTTCTCCTCCCCCATTGTGCTGCATTAGCTTACTCAGGAAGAGGACATAAAAGGGCAGTTAGAGGATAAAGCTCTTTTAGCCCAGTGTTGTTTCTTGTTCTGACTTAATTGATACTTTCCATCATAGCAAGCATATAAAATGATCAGTTATTTATGAGCAACCTAATGGTCTGCTTAGGGAAGTCTATATGTCAAACTGTATCATGACCATATGCTCTTCTCTTTGGAAAAGTTCCTTACTTTTGTCTTTTGTGGGTGTCAGGACATTGTAGCTAGATGAAGCAATCTCCTCTTTTACACATCTTTAAGCTGTGGAAAACTGATGATAATGGAAATAATTTCTATCCATTGTGACCAGTGGAATGCAATTAATTATTGTCTGTTGGACATTTACGTATTCATCACGACTTAAGAAAACTCATTC